CTGAAGGCAAAGAAACGAGAAACATTTTGATAACGTGTCTTTTTTTTTTTCTGTTAATAAACCACAAACTTGTTGAGAAACTATCAAAAAATGAAAGAAAAAAATGCTCATATGAAATGTTTGTACTGACTGAAAGAACTACAACCATAATGCATGCTGAAATTCTTTGGAGGTGTGATCTCAGTTTACTTTTGTTGTTTTTCAGATTAGGCATGATAAAATATTACTGTAGAAAGGGGCATTTCCGTGCACTTACAACAAGCTGATTGTTAATGTTCCATGGTAGTTGTACAAATAACTTCCCTTTGAAAAATGCAGTATTTCTTATTCAAACACTCATTAGTGAACTGAAGGTGTTCAGTTAGTTCTATATTTACTATTGTTTTATCTTGCTTCCTAGGTACTGTTACAACTGCAATAAGTCATTGTACACCTGTTGTATCAGGAATCAGGATTTTTTTTTTTTTTTAAGGTATTTTACACAACTTCATCTACACTACAAATTTATCATGGCAAACATTTAAATAATCTTACAGCCAAATCATGCACCACAAATGCACTATTCAGTCATTGCTCTTTTTGTCCACTGTCCTCTGACGGTTTGTTGCCCACTCCAACACTGCCATACCATTTGGGGCTTCAAGGCTACTGATGGACCAATACAGTCCTTTCATCCATAGATATCTTGTCTACTTCTTTATCTTTGGAACAAACTTTTCATCCCAGTGCACTATTACAGGAACAATCCTATTTCAATGAAAATTACCACAAAGGTGATTTTGGGATCAGCCAACACTTATCTCCAAACCTTCCTTGTTGACATTCTGCAGCATCCAGAGTATTAGCTATGCTGGAAGACATTGAAAGGCATTCAGTAAAAATGATGGCTAAATTCATGTTGTAATTATCCATAAACTTGCATCCTAAAAGTTGTTTGAGAATTTATATCGTGTGAAGATACTTAATTACCTAAGAACACTGATAGAATAATGGATTGGGTCCCAAAGCTATAAAAATGTAATTGACTTCAATTGGAATGTGCCTACATGGGCAGGCCTAATAGTTCATATGAAAGCTTTACTACTTAAGGCTTTTTTGCTTCATTTTTAAAGGACTTTGATGTTACCAGAAACTTTTCTGATAAAAAAAAAAGAAGTGTAATTTTCCTTCATAAGAGTGCATTAGATGTATCACGATGCTTCCTATATATGTGACATACCATCCATCATGTACATCAAACATACATGGAATATGAGCATATCAATACATACATATATACATCAAGAACACTGGATCAGAAATAATTGCATGTCTGCAAAATAAAATATGCATATAAATCAAAAGGCTCAGTGCATTAGATGCCATTACAATAAATGATTAACACAGTTATTTAATAGTTTGAGTAGTGTATATTTCAGTACAGTATTTGCTAGCATTCTACTGACCTGAAAATTTACATTAAAACACCCACTACAAACTGAAACTTGCTGATGATACACTTTTTACTGCACACAAATACTGGTCTTTTTCTCTACCTGTCAACAGAGATTGAAGAGTAGATGATGGACTATCATACTACAGTATATACACCAAAATACAATGTCATATATTAGAATTAAACCGCAATTAAAAGGAGTATATAATGTCATGCATTAATCTCTTTTCTTATTGCTTACCTATTTAGAAGCTTGGTTAATTTGTGATTAACTTCCCACTTTTTCTGCAACTCAGAATAGCTGGCTCATTATAAACTGAGCTACATTTATTTCCAACCTTAACAGAGAACAGAAGCACAGGCGGTCCTCTGACCAGAGGAGTGCTCCTGAGGAGCTCTGCAACCTGATGTTGCTCTCTTTTCTCTTATCCTGTTGGAAAACTGCACTAGATCTGCTGAAGCTTATGGGTTACAGAAGTTTTAACGGATAAAAGAGAGGCAGAAATGGACCCAGGATTTTCACCTGCATCCTTGTAACCCATGGTTACTCATTAAAAAAAAATAATAGCTTTTGCCATACAGTTATTCATAGAATAATTGTCTTGATATTAGCATCTACACCAATAATTTCTTTATGCCACATGGTACTTCTTGACTGGTTATATCAGGTAAATAATGCAAAACGGCAGTTACTAAACCCACTCTGGGACAGACTACGTACAACCCAGGAAACCTACTGACTCCATCAAGTCATGTGTCTTTTAAATTAAATCTCTTTATTCTCCTTTTCATATGGACTAAAAAGAATGCACTACAGCAATACACTGGCATAACAGTTACAGCCCTGAAGCAACTCGTACTTTCATTTTTAAAATGCAGCTTAAGGAATAATTTAGTATGATTTTGCAGAATTCCAGTCCTGTCTCCTATCTCCATTTTGTCACATGCAAAATCAGTCATTTATTCTGAATTTGGGAAATACACATTCTTTTGGTGTTTTAGGTGATTTAAATGCTGTTTTGGTAGTGAATGACTGTCGATGACTGTGTAAAATGCATCTGTACTGTACATGAAATGTAATTATTTCTGTGTATCACACAAAGAAACCGAGGTTGTTGTTTTGACAATTTTGTTTGACAGTCATATATCGTATTTCAGAAGGCAGCATAATACATGCATTATGCTGAATAAATAGACATTTGAGGAATATTTAAATAAAACATCTGCATGCTTGAATGGGTCAACCTGGTTTTGCAATAACTTATTCATGGAACCTTTTTTTTCCTTAATAAGATTGAAAGAACACTAAATCTGAGGGCAATGGATGTTCCCAACACTAATTCCAGGCAAGCCATGACTGCATCTAAACCATATCAGAACCGCCAAGGCCAGGATGCCACAGCTCTGTAATACAGAGCTGCCCTTCTCCTGGGCGAGTGGCCATCACCCTACACTTCCTGGAATGCAGCAGCAGTAGCAAGATGTGGGACATTATTTCCAGCAATATAAACTCCACCTCTCTGTACTTCTAAAAAAAATACATTTGTTATGTTTTCAATACATCCAGACACTGACTCTTTTGCTGAACCTTCCAGGCCACAGAGCCTCCTCAAACCTCATGCCCTGTTCCCTTGATAAAGCATTAGTGCACAGATGAGATCAAATCCCTTTTGTAGCATACCAGTGGCTAACAAGACACTGTGGACCCTTGCAACGGGTGACTGGTAGTGCAGAAGATGCTGGTCTGTGAGCTGTGTTTACCGTAGCACTGACATGTGCAGTGGCCACCTCTGCCATAAAACGGCTATGGGAGACAAACAGAAAGCACCACAAGATCATTAAGTTTTGGCCAGGGAGGGTGCTTAGGAGGTCATATGCTTTCTTTCCTGCATCTGGGGCCCACCAGCACTATATTTTCCCATTGACTATGGAAACATATGAAGATTATCAAGTGTTCTGGAATAAAAATGAGCTGCTGGAGTATATAAAAGTGCAGCTAAAAGAGCAGTCAGGAGTGAACAAAATATTTAGATTGAGAAAGTCTGTAATATATATAGAGAATAATCTGGACAGCTTAGTTTCTTACCTGCCTGTATTATCTATTTATATGCTTTTAAGATACCCATTTTCACAGTACCTATACACAAGAAACAATTGAAGGTGGGGGAGTGATGCATAAAAAGCAAGTAGATGCACAAAAAATCTGAAGTATTTAGGGCATCATAATTTTTTTCAAAGAAATTTAATCAAACATACACAAATTCTGAAGTTTTAGATACATCATCTTCAATAATAGCAATTCACATGAATTAAATGTAATTCTTGTAGTGGGTTGAGCCTGGCTGGATGCCAGGTGCCCACCAAAGCTGCTCTGTCACTCCCCCACCACAGATGGAAAGGGGAAAGAAAAATATAACAAAAGGCTTGTGGGTCAAGATACAGACAGGAAGAGATAATCCACCAATTACCATCATGGGCAAAACAGACTTAACTTGGGGAAAAACTAATTTATGACCAATCAAATCAGAGGAGGATAATGAGAAATAAAACTAAATCTTGAAACACCTTCCCCCCCTGCTCCCTTCTTCCCAAGCTCAGCTTCACTCTTGATTTTCTCTACCTCCTCCCCATCAGCAGCTCAAGGGGATGGGAATGGGGATTGTGGTCAGTTCATCAACACAGTGTCTCAGCCTCTCCTTCCTCCGCAGGGGAGGACTCCTCACACTTTCCCTGCTCCAGCATGGGGTCCCTCCCACAGGAGGCAGACCTCCACAAACTTCTCCAATGTGAGTCCTTCCCATGGGCTACAGTACTTCATGAACGACTCCAGCGTGGTCCCCCACGGAGTCACAAGTTCTGTCAGCAAACCTGCTCCAGCATGGACTGGGGTCTCCACAGAACCACAGGTCCTTCCAGGAGCCTGCTCCAGCATGAGCTTCCCACGCTACTGCAGCCTCCTTTGGGCACATTCGCCTGCTCCACCATGGAGTCCTCCACAGGCTGCAGGTGGGTGTCTGCTCCACGGGCTGCAGAGGGACAGCCAGCCTCACCATGGGCTTTCACCACCAGCTGCAGGGGAATTTCTACTACAATGCCTAGAGCACCTCCTCCCTCTCCTTCACTGACCTTGGTGTCCTCATGGTTGTTACTCTCAGATGTCACTCCTCTCTCTGGCTGCAGTTGCCATTATGCAGAAGTTTTTTTTCCCCCTTCTTACGTATGTTATCACAGAGGCACTAGCACCATCGATGAAGAGCTCAGCCTGGGCCAGCTGCAGGTCTGTCTTGGAGCTAGCTGGCTTTGGCTCTGTCAGACATGAGGAAAGCTTCTAGCAGCTTCCCACAAAAGCCATCCCTGTACCCTGCCGCTACCAAACCTTTGCCACACAAACCTAGTTCAATGCTTTTGTGGTAAAAACTTCATGAACTATTTTAAAACCCCCTTCCTCCATCATCTTTAACTGAATAGCACTGTGACCAACAGCTGCTCTTTTTACCATTTATTCTTTATATATTCCCTTAAATATAAGCACTGCTTTCACAAAATGAACTGTTATGGAGAACAGGAAACAGTTACAGTTCCTTCAGAAAGCCTTATCATACAACCTGCTGGCAGATGGCCTGAATACCTTGGGCAAAAAGCAGGATTAGTGAATTTTGCTCCTAAAAGGAACCTCATACTCCCAAGTCATGACTGCATGGTGCGAACCTTACTCAGCTCCACTTCTGCAAGCACAGTCCCACAGACTCAGTATGAATCCGTGAGCTGAACAGAAACACCTGATGCAGGCAGGGGGTGACCCCTTTTCTGAAACAGTTGCTCTCCTCAAGTGATCTGTGAAAAGTATTAAGAAGCAGCTCCATAGCTGTTTGTTGCAACAAGAAAGATTTGGTTCATTATGGTTTATGCTGCAGAGAAGAAAGAACAAAACAACTTTCTCCAGGTACTCCTGCAAAACTGAGGGGAAAAAAGGAAATAAAAGGATGAAGTAGTTTTCACTGCTCTAAGTATCTCTAAGCGTTGCCCTCCTGCCAAGCAGCCTCTCTCCTACATATATCCTAAAGCTCTACAGTAAAAGAACAGGCTCATAACAGCCTAGTCAATCAATTTTAAGGCTCTTTGAACAAGCCCTAGAAAAACAAGAGATACCTCATAGCCTGAGCACAGTGAAAGAAAAAAAGTTTGAAAGTGTTCCAATTTACAGCTGAGACTTATTTCAGCAAACGTGGTTAGATACTCAAAATAGGATTCTTTCTCAGAATACTTATCAGTAGTCCTTACCAGGGAAGTGAATACTTTTATCTTTCCTGACATATGAATGTCTTTCTCCTAATGAAACTAGCCCCATACTGAACAAAGATGGGCTCAGGACTTGGGTAGCCAAACCCAACTGAGGTTACCCTGACTGCAGACACTCACTGTCGTGAGGGTCCACTGACACTGGTGTGGGACATTGAAACCTGTGTAAAGAAGCAATACCCCAAACAATCCCCCTGCTCTTAAAATAACCTGACTACACCTAATGGCAGTGCTTCCTCACCACATGGGAAGCATAAAACCAAATAACCTGGACTGTCAGTACCTCTAATTCTAGCTGAGGACTTCTCCAATGAATCTCCTTACTCTGGCTGTTACTTCATAACATTATATACCTTCATAAGCTCTTAGCTCAGACAGGAGAAGATACACAGGGAGCCCTCAATGGTAGCCTTGGGGAGTCCTCCCATGGGAGGACTCAGGATAGCTGAAACGTGGCTAAGGGACCTTCCTCAGACACACCTGGGGTAAAACATTTAACCGTCAGGATTTACTGGACAAAGGACAGGACTTCTTCCTGCTCTTTTTTTACTGTACTCACGGTGAAATTCCCTACATTCAGCTATAACCCACAGCTGAATCCACCTGTATACATGTGATCCATGCTATGCACAATCAAAAGATTCTAGGATTTGTGGTTTGGTTAGCTTTTTTTTTTTTTTTTTAAACAGGGAAAAAAAAATAAAGGAAGGCTCAATCCACTGTGTAGCATCACAGGTCTCTGTAGCACTCGGAAGTCTAGAGCTGGTTGTCAGAGGTTAGGGCTGGGCTGGCCACTACACAAATGACAGACACTCTCTATTAACCCCTCTCCCTTCCCAAAGGGGAAGAGAAAGAGAATAATGGAGAGGGACTTATGGTCTGGAAAACTAAAACAGCCTTAATGCAAATAACAATAATAAAATGAATTAAACACAAATATATACAAACCCAATGTTGAAGCCAGCCCCTCTGATAGCAACTACATCACCATCACCACTGAGGCTGTGGACCAGGCCCTGGAGAAGTCCCAGACTGGACTCAGTGGCAGACAGGAACTGCATTCAGGAGGTGGATTCAGAAACACAAAGATCAGGAACAGAGTCCTCCTAGGTCACTGACCACTGAAGAAGAGACACTGACATTCCTGACCCCTCAGCTTTATCGCAGCTAGGATGTATATGGAATACAATACCTTTTTGGTCAGTTTAGGTCACCTGTCCTGTCCACTGCTTCCTGCAGGTACGGCCACTTACTGCACCCCCCAAATGTGGCACACAAGATTTAGCAGTGAACTTGGGTTCAACAGGACCAAGTAAAAGCAAGGTCCTCTCTGCACAGAGGTCCTTAGTAGCGACTGTAAACATGGAGTGTTATCACTTCCAGAAGCTGACACTGTCTGCAAAAAATATGTCACTAAGTTCAGAAAGTGCAGTTACTTTGAAGAGACTTAGCTGAAAAGAAAAACCACTGAACAGAATCAGTTCTGTTGTAGCTCACATCAGGACACTGCTTTATAGCCAGGCTCCCTCAGACACCTGCTCTTTTTCTGCATAGGAACCTCACCCTTAGCTACAGCAAGGCTGCCCAGTCTGAGCAGTGGGAAGGGTGGGAGCCTGCAGAACGCTGGGCAACGAGGCTTCCTGAATGGTGCACAAGAGTACTTCTGATGAAGGCACTCCAGACCTTCCCAAAATTTTGTCCTTTAGCCTTTTCCTTCCCTCCCAAAATATGTACTAGCATCAATTGGAGAGGTACAAACACAGAAAAGTAATCTTGCTTGCAGTACTACCTGTGAAATAACTACACCCACATGTAGACTGCTAAAAAAACAAACAGCAGCCCACACAACTGAAAAGCTTAATTTCATGAGCCCTTCAGAAGCCTTTTCAGAAGCAACAGAAAAAGAAAATTAAATTTACAGTGCAGTTTCTCCATGACTAAGAAAGTGGAATGGGTAAAGAGACATCCTCACATTAGCAGGAGGACTCTCCCAACTCCCACTCAAAGTACTCACATTCTAGGACTCCAAAATAAAAAAGCTGCTATGAAATTTAAGGCAAAAGTAACTTTATTGTCTATCAAATTACATCTTGCTTTTTTGTCTTTTCTTTTACAAATTCCCAAACAAATGAAATATTTTTAAATGTAATATTATGTAAAAACCCATTTGCCACAAACTACTGCACTCAGTGGAAAAAAAAAAAAAATGTCATGAGCATGGCCAATTGTAAAAATAATCCTATGAAATAAACATTGTTAATAAAAATACAGTAAAATGCACTTTCCCCACCTCAATAAATACATTTTAAAGCCCTTTCTAGTTGGCGTTTTAAGCCACTGGAGAGCTCTTAATGAAGAAGCCGCCAAAGAATAATTTCTCCTTATGTACTTTTACCATTATTGCAATAGCATCCAGAACTGTAAGCATTTTCCTCGTAGTCTTTTGTTTCTGCCCTCAGGGGAATCACAGACAGGAGAAAAGATTTATCTGTAAAAATGTGCTACTCCCATATTGATTCCCATTTTGGAAAGAATGTTTAAGGTTTTCTCTCTTTTCACTAAGAAACAGCCCATAAAATAAACTGTTTCAGAAGAATTCTTCAGAATTACTCAGAATTAAAGTCCATTGTCTAGAGTCATAGTTTTGTTTTCAATCCCTGTTTAATATATTTAAATTTAAAAATTAAACCGTTATGTTAGATTAAAAATAGAAGTTTTAGAACATCTTTAAGAACAACAGTTAAGATAAAGGTTTTGTTAGAAAAAAGAAAATCTCGCCCTCTTTACAGATCTTGCAAATTTTTCAACCCAAGTATTGACTTGAATTGTAGTTCTGCTTTCCATGCACACACAAACCCACACAATTGTATATACACAGATCCCTGATTAAGACATTTTCCAAATGGCTTATTAAAAATGTAAAAGTCAATTTCCACCGAAGTCAAATTGTGTTTGTCCAAAGCACAGTCGTTCCTTCAGAAGATGAGTATTTCTCCTCCTTTCCCGTCACGTTTCCTTAGAGGTTCTCTCTCTCTACCTGCGAACAAATCAGCGCTTTATCCACCGCACAGCTTGTGACAATATGTTAAACACTACTGTGCCCAGTGCCTTTTAAAAAACAAACAAAATCAACACCTAGACATGGCTGAGGCCATGGCTAAGAGGTGGACAGCTTATCTTTCTTCCTGTGCTGGCCTCCTCCACTCCTACTCATTAGGTGTGTTCTGACACATAAAAACACTGGTATATTTGTCACAGCTGATGGAACAGAACCAAAGCCAATAATAACCCTTTGTGACTTGTCAGATTCATTGCACCACCTACAGCTCTTCCATTTCAAAGTGTGTATTGAAGCTGTTTGCCATGGATGTGTGTTCAAAGATCCTTGTCAGGCTTGGTTTCAGTAGCTCCATGGAATGACAGGACAGTTGCTGCGAGGTATCATTCTTCAGGGCCATGATCTGATCTGCCCCAGGATCCCTTCTGTCGTAGTACAGAGCCCACAGCAAAGTAATAGTGAGGATCATAGCCAGGATCTGTGTTACTCCAATAGAGATTCCTAGAAATCTCAGCACTTGCAATTGTTTCGTCCCCCTCAAAAAAGTGTACATTTTTTTACCGCAACCCTGTGAAACAAAAATAGGTTTAAAAAACAATTAGTCAATATTATTTGCCTTGCAGTTCCCAAGGTTTAGCTCATCCTACCTCGTGCTGGCTTTTCTGGATCTCCACAATTCATCTCTTCTCTCTCTCAAACAATACTTTCAAAATTGTTTTGCCTACTTTGTAATCGCTTCCATAACGCCTTATTTAAGTTTCCTCATACACTGAGAGTTTACCACATGTAACAAACTCCACGAGATCTGTGCTACTCTTCAATTCAGAAATCACTCAAAGTTGATCTAACTTGCTATCAGCTATCTCTGACTTTTAAAGAAACTCAACTGTTTTTGCAAAGGTTTAAAAGTCATTAAGCCACCATCTTGTTTCCTTAAATTGTAGCTCTTCAAGGTTGTCAATTATTTTAAACTCTTTAGACTTTTTCTACAAATAATACCACCACCTGAAGTTAAAACAATACCCTAGAGAAGATCTACAGATCAGTACAACCTCATCAGTGTATCTTCCCACCTTTTATAGTGTTTTATCTGGACTCATTATATGCCCATTTATTAGTTCTGCAGGAAGTCCTAGGGAGCAGAAAAATCATTACATTCCAGACATCACCTGAGTAAGGAGCATTGAACAAAATAACCTTTAATGGAGGACTTCTGACAAATTTCCAGAGCGCAGTGGGTACAAACAAACTTTCTGTAGTACTTAGTGGTAATAACACCACATACATGTAGCATTATCCCTGTTTTTTGTTCTTGAACAAGAAGCATCTCCTCATGCAAAAAGCATACCCACTTATGCTAGTTACACTCTGCCTACCTGCCCTACCCATAGATTATATTTTTGAAATTAACTGGCTTAATTTCTGATCTGAATGTTGAAACGTCCCTGTCAATTATTGTGATGGCATAATAAAAAGAGCCAGTTTTGCCTCCTATCTGGTGCTGGGCTTTTGCTACTTAAAGCACAGTATTGTCCCAAATTGTTATGAGCGTAGCTGTAGCAACCTGCCCTGCATCAAGGGAAACTTCTCTGTTATTTTACAGAATAGTAATTGTTATTTACACAGAAAATATCTGATGGAAATTATGTCAACTATGTTACAATATCACAATATTTCCCACAAACAGAAATTTGTCTCTTTCCAAACCATTAGTGCATGCTCCACAGTTTGGTTACGTAGCAAATTAACGACTGTCCAAGGCTTCAGAAAAGCTACCAAACCCTGATAAGGCTGCAAGGTTCCCCCAGGAGGCACTGGCTCTGGGAACTACTGGGTAACAGTGCAAACACAAGCTATGATGCTTGTTGCTCAGAAAAGATGATTCCTAGTCTTAGAATAAAACGTTGAAGAGAGGGCCTGTAGCTACTGTGGCCCATGTTACTCTCCATTCTAAACTTTGCAGAGCTTCATAGCACAGAAATCAAAGGAAAAGAGCCACCGAGGGAAAATTCAGAGTAACAAAGTGGATGGGATAACACAGCAAGCACCAATAGGCATTGGTCCCAGAAGACATCAAGAACCCATCAAAATAGGCACGGTCTTCACAATGTCATTTTTGTGTTTATATCCTTACCACATATTTCCTACAGCTTTTCTATGAAAAGAAAGTAATTGATCAAAGTGACAGAATCAGAAGGCAGGACCTGATAAATAACACTTTTCAATCACACTGAAATTCCCCAAAGCCAACAATTTCAAATGCTACAGTCCTGAATGTATTTGATGAAAGGCTCAATTCTTGCCTCACACACAAATGAAAATCTGTTGACTGCAGTGTGAATTTTAAGATCTAAATAAAATTTATGAACTGTATGATAATTGTACCAGAGTAAGCTAAAGGATCTCAATGTCTTTGCTCTGTTCATCTCACTGTGTCATTTTTGAAACAGTAACACATTTTAGGCACAGAAAAAGGAGTAAATGGGGAATTCTTTGACATTTGAAAAGACAAAAACACTGTAGCAGAAGCAATGTAATTGAACTTGATGAGGAACAAAAATAAATTGGTGTCTTTTTTTTTGCTCAGCTAGAAAACAGTGTTATAATTATACCACTTTCCAGTTTTTATATATATATTATTTACAGATAAACTGGCTCCATGTTAAAACTTTTGATAATTTTAAGGGATGAAGGTACATGCTGGTGACAATTTAAAAATGCTCAGCCACAGCAGTATTCAAATTCAGTTCATTTGCTGCCTAGAGGAAACATCCATTAACAGAGAGCAATAACATTAATGTCTACATCTTCTGCAGCACAGACACAGAACTGAGACAAATTATGCCCAATCTAGATAGACTGCCTCCCTCCATTTAATGATATTCTTACAGTTCTGCTCCAATCCACATTCAAAATCAGTTTCAAAATTGAAAAATATCCAGCCACCCCTGTTATCCTCACATTCATGCATTTTATTTCTGCTTATGTGACACATTCATAGTTGGTAGTCTGCAATTAGAGAGTACATAAATACACTTTCCTCGGCAAAAGTAAAAGTTTGTCACTGAACAGGGAGCTCTTGTTGACAACTCAAAAATGGTATAAAACTTTGCAGTCATCGTTCAGAAGAATTAGCTTCAGATTCCTACAGAGCTTGGATTAAAGGCCTGATTCATATCCATTATAAAGGCCATTTTATATTTTCAGTGTTAAAATGGAAGCAAAGCATGTACTTCTGGTTCACTGCAACATCATAGAATAAGGACCAGACCTTAAATAAGGCACCTCTCAGAGCAGAAAAGATAAACCATCAGCATATTCAAAAAATCTGTGGTAAACTCCAAGTTTGAGTGCACTCAAAATTACACTAGAAAACAAAAGGAAAAATATTGACATGTAATTTTGATTTTTCTGAAGATATCAATTCCTACCAACCTTTTTATCTAGGCTGCGGTTCCCAATCACATGACGGGCAGAGCTCCCCTTTTCCTCAGATGACAACAGACCTCTGAGGTCACATCACCATTATCTGACACACTTCCTTGCAACCACAGCCTAAGGTTAGTCTGTGCCATGAACTGCACCAAAAGTGAAGCTCATCAGAATAAAAGCAGCCCAAGGAAACAAACACATTTGAAAAATAGCTTTCAAAGCCCACCAGGGCAAACATGATTCCTGCCAAAAATACTCTCAAGCAGAACTATAAGTAAACCACCTTTCTTTCTACAAAAATTGTATTGTGAAGGATTCCAACTTAGACTACGGAAAGCTCTGAGGTCCCAACATAAAACTACATCATAGCTGCAATACAATTTTATCAATCCCAGCCAAACCAAACTTCAGTTTTCTGAAGTGCTAAAAACAATTCTTCTGAAGTACCAGAATGGACTTGAGAAGCATTTGCATAAGCCAATTTTAGGCTAGCAAAGCTAATCTCATCATACTCCCTCTCAAACCACCAGACTATGCAAGTTTGCTTTGAGTCACTTCCTAAAAAAGCTTTTCTCCCTCAGTTCTCCAAAGCAGAAGTCAGGCAGATTAGCCTTGCAAGTCTAAGTTGGTTTTGCATGGTATTGATAATCAAATTAGCAAGTATATTGTATGAGCCTGTGAGACAACCCACAGGCAAGCACCGTGGGGAAAAAAAAAAAAAAAAATCTTGCCAGCCAAATATTGTACATATTTCAAAGACCAACTGAGTATTTTTATGGCTAGTAGAACAGAACATAGCCTGTCCCTTTTTGGAATGGATTCTGCAGTAGAGAAGCAAAGATAAATTTTTGCTAAGAGCAGAATCCACTCAAAATGATTCTTGTAAAAAAGAGCCTGGAACAGCATCAAGAGACTGGGACAAGATAAAATGGTTCTTTGGGTGCTCTTCCATTGTGCAGAATTGCACTGTCTGCAGAAGAAATGTTCATGCTGCAGCACCTGAAAGCATACTCCTGAGACCCGTTCTCCTTCCTAATGCAACCCATATTACTCTTAAACAAGCAAATGAAGAATGCACCTCTTCTCAGATCCTCCTAACTACTTGACTGAGACATGGTGTTTACTGCTACAGGACTATCTAGACTGTTGGGCATTCTCATGTTACTGAATGCACAATTAAAGGTCTTCAGAGGTCTGTTAGCATAAAAAAAAAATGGTAGGTAGCAAAGCCATCCCCAGACAAGAGTGACCTTAGACAGCATTTTTGTAAGAAGAGTTAAAAGAGTTGTAACAGAGAACACATTTGCTTGTCTTTACAGTTTTCACCCTAAGAAGAGTAATGACAGCATTATCATCACCTCCCTTACCCACTTTGAGTTCAAATAGGTCCTCTCCTGGTTTTAAGAGTTTTTTTTCTTCCTCCTTTTTAAATAATCATCATACTGTGATGTAGCAGAGTGAGAGAAGATCATTTTCACACAAAGTTTCTATGCATGCTCACGGTAGAGCAATTACCTGCTTCCCTGCATGAGCCCTGTTAAGAAGAGAGGTCTCCTCTTCCAAAGAACTTCTCAACAGCTTCCTTCACTGTATGTACCAACAGAGCCCTCATTACAACAAGGTCAGTAGAATTTCTCTTAATCTGGCAAGGGGAAGACTATACACTACACAAAACCAAATGTTTAATTTTTTTTATTGGAGCAAATTTCAACCCCAGTCTAACCAATGCAAAACAAATTCCTCAATATTTAAGCACATCTCAGGCATTAAACTGCATTATCTCACTTCTAGGTAAGGATGAGTGGGTGGGTTCTTTCTTCCTTGCTTTTCCTGCTTCAGCATTAATACTAAACACAACTAAACACTGTAAACCCTTTCCATAAACACAATTACTCTACAAACCTTTCTGCTGCACTGTAAATAAATGAGTTTGGAAAATGACAGGATCAGGAAGAATATACAAAGCCTGCTGAAAAATTCCCATTTTTCTTCATACCTCCTGATAAAGGTCACTGAGATCCTCATGATGTGCCTGCTTAGAGCATCCTGGGAACTCTCTGACACAACAGGAGTCAGGTGGCCAGTCCATCTCTGTCATTTCCAGCCAGTCTGTGAAGTATACCACCCCACAACATTTAAACTGCAAAGGAAGGATTAGCCAAGATCAGCAACAATGATAATATTTCTTCAGAAAAGTAGGTCATCAAAGAAGCTAAATAAATTCCTGTTAGCAACTTTCAAAATATGTGGGACCAAAAACATCTATAAAGGCTTCCATGTATCTTCTTGTGCTGTACTTTTGACAGAAAAGGAATGTGAAAAATGTAACGTAGTGACCAGTGAACAACTCAGAAACTGTCTGACCTTTAAATTCCAACTGCTCCTTCAAAGGATGCTTTACAGAAATTGTCCTACCCTGTAATTCTGCTATCCTCACTACAATAAATTAACACAGGATAGTTTCATTTCAAAAGGGTGACTAATGAACAAGCATATTTGTGGCTGAAGAAAGTAGTAGAAAAAGATGATTAAGGTCTTACTAGGGAGGGACTACACCTGCAAAGCTACAGCTATGGACACACCTATTGAAAACCACAAGAGAAAAAGTGCAGATTTATCTGAATGCAGAAAAAAAGAAAAAATATTTTAAAAGTGAGCAAAAAGCTATAGAAATCATAAATGCTGAAAGAAAAGGAGGAAAATGGAAGGAAGTGGTATCACACTAAAATAAACACTGCAACAGAATCAACCATAAAAGTAGGATGCCTGGCTGCACAGCAGATGAGCCGTAATTGGCTATAAAACCCACCAGGACTAACAACCTGCCTTCTCCTCTGCAAAGCACACAGAGAGATTTAAAGCCAAATGACCAGCCTACCACATTCCTAGATACTTTGACGTAAAAAAGGGCTGAAGCAGCTACATTAGATTTTCTTCAGTACTGGATGGGGACTGGACATGACTGGAAAAAAAGACTTGCTGCAGCAAGAAGATGTTGCTTTTTTCCATCTGGATGTTCTCCAATACCAGCTTGAGTGTTTCTAAGTCACCACCTGGCTCCTTCGACCCATAGGCTTGGTTTTTTGTCCCCCTTGCCCACTTCAGAGCCAGTCTTCTCACAAATCTCACTTCTTCATTTTTCATCATAGCTTTAATGTCTATGATTTTATCAGTTTGTTAGTCAAAAATCCTCTCAACACTTTCTAAGGAAAGCTCAAACTTTGGCTCCTCATTGTAATTGCAAAGACCACCACATTAAACATCCTGTTCTTATTCGCAGACCTGATTCCCCTCTCAATTCTTCCTTCCTGACTGACCCTTACCATCTTCCTTTGAACAGTCCCAACACTGATTACTAGACCAGCAAGGGGGCTGAGGGGAAAACACATTTCCTACCTCTCTCAGATGTTAAGACACAGAAGGCTGAGCACAAAGCTGATCAAGACCGTATCTTTGGGAACAAAATTTTAATTACAAATTTTTTTCTTTAGCAAAAAACAAATTTAATGTTGACTGAAGAAGGTCCCCAAGCATCGTGCTCATTCAGACATACAGCACAACCCAGGCTCACACATCCACTATCTGAGTTATGAGTAGACAATAAAAATGAGAGCCCATCAGTTCAGTCGGAGCTGTAAATGAGCCATCTCGGTTCACTTCAAACTTTCCCCAAATCATTTCTCTACTCAGAGATGGAATATAGGAAATCTAACCTCTAAAAGGAATTTTTTTCTCCCCTGGAAGGCATAGCTGAAGTTTTATTACTAATATTCATATTAAAACCAGTCATTACAATGACACTGCAACAGCCAGGAGGACAACAGGCAGCTCCAATTTAATCAACCTATACATTTATACTAAGATACAGTATCTGCACTATTTAAAGAAATCCAGACTATTTGTTTATATTATCTCAGGTACAGAACACACACAAACACTCTACCTGCCTACGAAGAATTACTCAGTTTCACAGAGCACTCGCAGAGCCAGAGTGGGGCACCAGGGAGGGTGGGGAGGTGTTTAACCTCATCTAGTCCTCACTCCTTATTTCAAGTTTTAGTGTAAGTACAGACTAACCAAGTGCTGCCAGGAAATGTTTAAACAAACAGGAAATCTGTGCAACAATGATAGATTTCAACATTTCAGCAAGGGCAGCACAATGACACGCCTTTAAAGAGCTCTCTTCCTGCACGTGAGTTATATTTGGAGTTAATGGGCTTTACCTTGGGCAATTTCATGTTTTTGTAACATAATACTTCATTATTGAAAAACAGTTCTGAATTTTAGTAGGCTAGAGGGCAAAGCTATCAATACACAAAGACGCTTTTTGGTTTGTTTCTCACACACTCCCCACCCCCTCCCAGGCAAAGGAAATAAAAACCCTGATCACTTTCTCAAACCTCAGCCAAAGAGACAGTATTGGCATCTTTTTGGAAACTTCCTTTTCTACTCATTTCCAGCTAAACACATATCTTAACCATGATGGCTCCATGAAAGGAAACCAAGAGAGCCTACGGGAAGGGGTCCACAATTTAATATTAAAACAGCACATAGAAATTATTATTTTACCTTACCTGCAGATTTTTAATTTTATGTACACTATATTCTTAAATGTTATAATAATCCTAAAAGATATTTGTGTCCCAACCTTACTGCAAAGGAGACTGTGTTAGTAATTTAACTGAATTCAGTAACATTCTTTTTCTGTGTGTGTGTGTTTAAGTGTCTTTATGGGTTAAAAAAGCTCAAGAGTTGGCTATCACATGGTGTTGAAAGATACCATTCACTACACAAGGTTTCACATGAAAAGCACTTGCACTTATTTACCTATTCACTTAAAAAGAAATCTTTTCCTTTAGCAGATAAATAACATCTACCAAATTACTTCAGCTCAGGAATAAACGGTCGTCTTACCTCCCTCTGGAAGAAATTCCAGGCATGGGTCAGCCACTGGTACCTAGGCAGGCCATAATTAGTCATCCTGGCTTTCAGTGTGATCATATCAGACCACTGCACTGGAACCTGGAGCAAGGAAAGAAAAGCAATTCACAGAAAGACCAGTTGCCTTGTGGCTCCAAACCCAGAACTTCCAATCTATTCTGAGATCTTTGCAGTGCAATGACCAAAATAACTTTGCACGCAAATAAAACAGGAAAACAAGTGCTTCTATTTTCATGGTATTAAAACTTTATGAGTCTTTATTAAACTATCAGGAAAAAGTTCCTTGTATTCTTTGCTTACGCATTAATGTACACTGGAAAAGGAGATGCATTTCTGAGAGATTCAGATATAGTTAGTTATAATTTGATTATATCATACCAGATTTTTTACCTGGCACAAAACTTGTACCAAGCCCCATCCAAGTCATCAAGGATGGCATTTGTCTGCCCTCATTCAGGTATCTCCCTGGTGTTGTCTTAGTTAACAGAAAGAAACAGGAAGCCATAGAGGGCAATTCATCTTAAAATAAATATTTTAAACAGACCAAATAAATCATTCCCTGAAGCCTCAAATCCACTCAAATCCACTCATGAAGGTGACCAACTTAGATTTAGAAGTCTAACTTTTAAATATAAAAATTAATTGAGATGAGCTCTACCCTGAGTGTCTTTTCAGTGGCCTTCTGGCTTTGTGTGGAGTCCTGCACACAGGTATCCTCAATATACTCAATTTCTCTATCTTGCTCATAAAGAGTGACAAGGAAGTACAGACAGTGAGGCCCTGGGAACTTTCTTCTTACACACACTCAAGGCCTTGTAAATCTCTGCTTCTGAAAGAAGGGTTCTCAAAACATTTTTCTTTCAAATTTGGCTGCTCAGAATTGAGGTGCTGATGCTCTCCATTGTTTCTAACAAATTGCTGAGGGTCCTAGTCTGACAACAGAAGCAAGTGCTGTGGCACCTGTCATACAATGCAGTCAAGAGTCAAGATAAGAAGCTCACTTCCGTTCAGCAGCCCAAATTTCAGTGTGCCAAACTAAAACAAGGAGCTGAAGACTTTGCAGTTGCCCTTCTAGGCACACATACCATTCATGCTGAGTTCTGCCTTGTTCCCATTAGCCTTAACAGTCATGGTGAAAGAAATCACAACTGCAATATCAGCTTTCGTTGGGAGGATGGGGGAGCCCAGCTCCTCCAGCAGCTCTGACTTTGCTGTCCTGCTCAGTTTGGAGTCAACACTAAGGGCATTCTGCAAAGAGCAACACATGTTATCTAAGGAAAGTGATCAGAATGCTTCCCAAGGAGCCTGTTCTTTGTTGCGTTAGATGCTCTACAAAACTACAGGGACAATCACTGCCTGACTGACCCTGTCATCCAAATAAGAACATCTGATAATATTTCTTTAAAGTTGCTAAGTTATATTACATTTTTGACACCCTGGTAAGGCTTCATATATCATGAATATGAATATATTAATAATACCACAGAAATTTAACACAGCAGAATTTTAACACTTAACAGAATTTTTATTGCATAAGCGATAAAGTGCTGAACTCACAACTGTACATGTGAAAAATACATTAGCAGTAGAGTACTAAAAATACTTACAAACAATATCACGGTATTTCTAGCACATTTACACTGGTCACTGTAACAAAATAATTTCATTTTGGACTCAATGCATTTGTCTTTCTGCCATGCTGGAAGTTAGCACTCTGCTTTATTTGGATAATATTTGATATTGCTGCAATTTAGCTCATATTTGCTGGACTATTTTATTATCTTGAGTTGAATATAGTCCAAGGTTATGACTTAACACAAGGCATCCAACTTCTTTAAGGAAACGGTGGAAAGCAGGGAAAAAAAAAATCAAGATGTGAAGAAGGAAATTAAAGCAAGTCAAAACAAACTAAAGCCCAGTGTAGGAAGATGATTTGAATTCTGGAGCTAAAGAGGGATATTGGAATCTGTGTCTGACCTCTCTGAGAATATCAACATGTCAAACTAATGACATTGATGTAACTACTAATTAGCTTTCCGTCTGCTTATGCACACAGCAGCACACAATTATACCTGATCTGGAGATGCATTTGTTTGACTATACACTAACACTTTTCTGTAATGTGTAGACAAACAAAAACTAGAGGACGCTGGTGTGATTTTAGCATAAGTTCTGTAAAGCTTGGTTTGCCATCAAGTTTTACTTATTTATTATTATTTTTCTAACGAGTATCATTAGGCTTGACCAATGCCTAAGTAAGCCAAGAACCCATGCTGACTCTTCCATCTTGTGGGTGGAATAAATTAGTCATGAGGCACACTTCATGCTGAGAGCTAACATGAGCTGGAAGGAAAATTGTTTATATAAAGACTCCTAGAGCAACTTGTCCACACGCCAAGGAGAGCCCTTATTGGATCAGCAGAGGTGGTTATGCCTCAGTGCCTTTTTTTACAACATCACCCACCCACCTACACTAATGCTACACGATTCTCTGAAATCCACCAAGGGCTTGAGAGATTTCATGCTACTCTGAAATCAACATGACATCAAGTCACCCCCATGGATATAAAGAGGAGACTTCTTATCTTTATCAAGTAGAGTAGGAAACAGCATGCTCTAGGGAAGTGACCCGCACAGGTATAAAAAAAAAAAAAAACCACTGAAAAACTCTTCCAGAATGCCACGTTCCTGACGTGTCTCAGCAGCAAGAGACCTGAGTTTGGCATGCCTCATCAGACAGAGAGCAGTAGTGTTAAGACAAAGGGAAAAAGAAGGGAAAATCAGATGGAAAAAGAACAAAACAAACCCCGTAGATCAAGGGATGAGGAACAAAATATTTTTTTTTAAATATATATATTTTAATCATTCTATGATTCTATGATATCTATATAAAAAAGACGAAGAAAAAAAAGTCAGAAAAAGAAAAGCAGTTCCTGAAAAGATTATATTCTGTTTTATTTGGTTGCTCATGTTCATACACCCAAATTCCTGGGATAGAGAACCAGAGGAGCATGAAGTAGCTGGGTTCACTGTGACACACTCAGTGCTGCTTCTTTTGGTAAAGGGGTGCAGGGCTAGCCGTGTTTCTTCCTGCAGAGAAGCAGCATCACCAGTGCCTGAATATATGGTAGGGCTATGCCAGTTTTTTTCAAACTGTCCCAGGTTTGGACGTCAGTAGCAGAGCAGGTAACCGAAAGCTTGGGGGTCACACTAAAACACCCTAACTTCCCGTTCTCTAACTGAACAGTGAAGGCTGGAGAAGACATGTACCAGGGCATTGAAGGCTATGTTCTTTTAGGCAGCTTCCTACTGACAGGATTTCTGTGGAAAGATGGATGTTGGGTTATAACTCTCATCCTTGGCAAAACCCCTGCGGAGGGCAGCTGTGCCCGTTGGATGAAGCATGCCTCTTGTCTGCATTCCCAATTTTAAAATGCATCAATGCAAGCTGACATTTAAAGTAAAGTGATAGCCTTAATCGTTGCTATACTAGAACACCCCTCTGGAATCTGCACTGCCAGGGAAATGAATGCTGACACAAAGTGCTGTCACGTAACTTCAGGCTTCAAATCTGCCAGAAACTCCTTTGGTCCCAGTGCCACATAACTACCAAGAAGGCTCCCTCCCATCTTACTGCAATTTAATAGCGACTCACTGTTGGAAAGACCATTATACAGGGCATATTTTGGCAGCTCAGAGAAAATACTTGTTCCACTATTCATAAAAATGTACCAGGTTGAGTATGAGACGTAAGGATATATAGCAGCCAGCAAAGCAACATTTCAGTTTAATTTCTGCTCAACATTCACCCACTTTCTTGCATGATGGTTACATGTCTTCAGTTTGAAAATTAAAGGTTGGTACAGCTATAAAAGCTAGACAGAGATAAAACTTCTTCACAAGTTTGCAGAAGAATGTTTTATAGCTAAGACATGTTCTGCTTAAAACTGGCATTGATAGCTTGTGGAGGAAGTGTGAAGATTTCAGCAGACAAGTCCTCTACTGAAAGTATACACTGTCTGTTTACAACACAGTACACTCAGCTACAGCTCTTCAAAACATGAAGAACTCCTGGGCAAAATCCTCTCAAATTCTCACGTCCCCTCTCTCAAAATACTTAAGTCTGAAGTTCATACCTTATCCTCAAAACTTCCACTGCCTTTGATAAGAATCTGCCTAAGCAAGAATAAACAAATAAACTCCTTAAATCAGGGCCTGCAGGATTTGGCTCTCAAATACAGGGTGGGGGAGCAACCTAGATAGGACCCTCCAGACAGAACAGCTTTCCCAGAGAATTCTCTGTTTAAAAAAAAGGCAGTCACTTGAAATTAGACTGTCAGAATAATGAACAAAGATAAACACTATGGCAATTAGAAAACAGCTAGCTAATGGAAATCTTTGTTTTCTTCTGTCGAAAAAATGCAGCCTCCTTTTCTGACTCACCGTTATTTCCTGCTCGTAGGTCCAAACACCACAGGCCAGTTCCACACAGAATATTACAAGCAAACTTCCAAAGTACTGTGGAAAATGGAATAGTCTTAGTTATTTTTGATAGTCAAGCAAACTTTGAAAAAAATACTTCATATTAAAGGACATCTCAAAACATTATAAACACTTCCCATGACTGAAGACACGAAATCTGAAATACATTTTTGCAGCCAAAACATGAAACATTCATGCAGCAAACTTTCTACAAGTTTAAGCCATGTGACATTTCTTACTAACTATACATGAAGCATATGAATATGACGATGGGAAAACAAATTCATTTCCTTGTTGATGAAGGGTGCAAGGCGATCATGACACATTATACTAAAAGAGCTGCAAAAAGGACAATCTTTTCTCCTTCATATATGAGAAAAAAAATATCTTTTTTTTCAGTTCTGTCCATTCAAGCAACATACCCAACTCATGCTAACAGCCAAAAGGTGGAACTAAAAAAAAAAAAGAATGAAGAAGAGAAAATTGATAAGATGGGAGTAAAGAAGGTTCTTGAAAGCTATGTTGTTATCAAAGGGATTTAAATATTTGAGATCAGGTATAAATGTACAAATATTTACTGAGATGGATTGCAATACCTTTGTCTATTACCAGATCTAACCCTTGGACTACTTAAAGATAGAAAATACATGTATAAATGAGGAAGCTCTACAGATCTTGGTAACGACAGGAAAAACTGGTTGCTGCGATCAAAAAAAGAGTAGGACTATCTTCTGTGTAGCATCAACAAACCCTCTCTGAACGGGAGGATAAAGCTGCTTGGAAATTAAGACTGCTTTAACTGGTGTTCTCTGTCAAAATTTCACCATTTATCTTTCATTTAAAACAGAAGTATAGTTCCATTCAAACTTTCTTCCATGTCAGTGGACTGAGCTCCCCCGTGTTCTCAGTACACAAGACTTAAAGTCTTCATGAATTTTATTTGGAAATCAAAGAAACACCATCACAATATAAAACAGAATAAGTAAGTAATTCTATCAGTAGGATACATACTAAAAGGCTTCTAGTTTAGTCATTTAATTCTGGAATCTATTTAGGACAGGTATAAAAGACACAAAACATGTACTAAGGGTGAGTATTTTTTTTTCTTCTATTAAAAGGTCAATAAGCTATGTTATTTAAAATAGATAATATAAATCCACAAGTGCTGGGATTTAACAGTCACCTACATGGCACCTTTTTCATTCACCCAGTCCGGAACCGAATAATCCAAAGATACCTTAGCAGCTACTGAACAGTGTTTTGCCTTAACTTCTACTTGCTGATCAGACCTCACTCTCTGAATTAGGTTTGTAGACACAAGCAGCCAAATTAAAAATGTACACGTAAAAATATTCACACGAATTTTCAAGAGAGAATCCTGCACTCATTACCCTCCCCCTGCAATAAAGGTGGTGCTGAAAAAGATGTCCTGCTTTACTAGTCTCCACCAGTTACATTACATTTTCATAGTCATTATACCTGAACAACACATCACATATCCTTCTAAATCAGCACTGCAAGCACAGGCAGAGCTCCACTACAGGCCTTCAATAGCCAACATGTTCATCTTCCAAAGGTGGAAAAATTTTGAGTTCTACCTTGTAAGAACAATGAAGTTTTCTCTAAAAAACAAATTCATGAGATTCTAGACAATGTATCTACTATCACTACAGTGCCTGTGAGTTATGCGAAGGATTCTTTAAAAAAAAAAAAAAAAACCCAAGGAAATCTACTTAGCAAACTATTCCCTTTGGGAGGAGGGAAGAATGTCATGTGCGTTAGCTCTTCTAATTCATATTAAAAAAATGTTTAAGGACAGTATGGCTAATGCTGACTTTTGAGAGGGAGAACAACTAAACGTTTTGGTGACAAGCTAATTTGAATTCTCAGCTGTCAAAAAAAAAAAAAAAAAAGTCAGTGGTTTTATACTCTAACTGAATAACAACCCTGGGACTTGAGATCCTCATATCTGCTGAAAGCAAAACATCTAAGGGTGTACGTATGGTATTCTCTGGAAAATTCTCAATTTGCAGTTCCTTGTAACATTTCATTCATTCACCAACCTTAGCATTTGAAATTTCTTCAGTTTTGTCAGCATATAGTTAAGAAAGTTTGTGGTAGCAGTTGGAGACAGAAGAGCCAAAACTAAGATTTTCTCCAGTTACTGAGTAAAGCCCAGGATGTTTAGCCAGCTTCCCTTACAAACCACTTCTGGGTCTGCCAGAAATTGAGCACTCCTGACGAACTACATCTGAACACACTGAACACATCAGGGCACTGTAGGGAGAACCCTTCTGTCTAGAGAAAGCACATCTTCTGTCCATAAGGCAAAAGACAAGCAAAGACACAATGCGTTTCCACACCTGAAAGCACACACCAGAAACTAAGCAGCTGCAGGCACCCCAATCTCACACACAGGAGCTTCGGTTTCACTCTGCTACTGAAGGGGACTATTATACCTCTCTCTAAATGTAATGGTTTGCAAAACAAATAATTCTTATGTAAGTTGTGTGGGGAAAAAAAACCTCTAACCATTACTTAAATTTATTACCCCTAATTTCCATCTTCCAAATACAGAAATTATGACTGGCTTCAATGCTTATTCCTTGTCCTCAATTAAATTCCCACAGGAGTCTGAGTGCTAAATGCATCTTCCTGTATTTACATACTTCTGCTTTTTGCCAGAAACAGGGACTTGGTTTTGAAGCAAGGCTTAATATTTCCTCCTGTGAGCTGAGGGGCTACATTTTGTAAAGGAGATAAACACAATGAGGAGCACTATTGTGTGCCACGCTCAGAACTGTGCCAGGAGGTCACTGATACTACCTTCTACAGCACAGCTCCCTCAGAGCACTCTTGGCCACTGCTGAAATATTTTTTACTATTTTTTTGTTTAGTTTTGGCAGGGAGAAGATAGGATAAGAGAAAGCACAGTAAGGACCAAATGATTTTGCGAAGTTATCTACAGGTTATCATGGAATTAAAAAAAAATCTACTAGCAATTATTGCAAAGCCATGACCACTTCAAGAACTAGAGACCTTTTACATGGCAAATCCCACAGTCTTCTAATGTTTCTGGTTTGCAGGCATATTGCTAATCGCTGTCATTCTCTTCCTAGTAAGATAATGCAAAGTCATCAGAAAATTGAGGTCATACCTTCAGTCTGTTGTAAACCCAGTGGAGCCAGTTTCACGGAAGGATTTCCTCCGGCAAGGTAGTGAAAAAACTAAACTGTTGCTTCCTTGAGAGAAGCTGAATGACTGAAATGATGGTAGAAAACACTCTTTTCAGAGTAACAAATCAATGTCAAAATATTTCCCAATTAAAAATAAAATAAAATCATGCAGTAGACATTTACTGCTCCTCACTAAGTCACGGACTTACACACATGGCCTCAACATCCTGAACTTCAGCATCCCTGCAGTGTCAAATGGATGCTGCCCATTAGCAGGAGCTGGTTCTCCTGCAGCCTCCTCATTAAGCTTGCCTACCACCACTGGCCACAGGGGAGGATGGCAGGCAAGCAGCAGCACAGTAAAGCAGTAGCTTTCCAACAGAAGTACCTCCTCTAATACCTGGGACAAGCACCTGGAATTTTTTTTTGCAGCAGTAGATGGGGTAGGGAGGGAGGGGGTTGGCTCCACCCTCACCATACAGAACTGTAGCACTGACTGCCTGCAGAGGCTTGAACATAGAATCATAGAATC